AGTAGAACCATTCCAAAAATAGGGGGGATCCGGCAGATGACATTCTGGGAATGGGCAGGACTGGCAAGGACAAGGGGCAGCAGAGACTTCAGTCAGTTGTTCCCTTCCCAAACGGGATTGGTGGAGTAAGCTAGGCCTGGGTCATGTGACCCGGCTGAGACCCAATAGGTTATCCGAGGTCAAGTCCCTGCAGAGGTGGCACACATTGGCCCAGTGAGGTCTCGGAGGTTTGGCTGGTCTGGAGGGGAGGCAACACAAAGTAATACAGTAGTGCAGGCCACAGCAGCTTGACGGATCTGGAGCGAAGGGGCTGGCATACCCTGTCCCTGTCTGCAACTCACTAACACACTGCAGTGTGAAGGGTCATCTAGCCAGTGTGCTTCAGAAGAATTGTAACCAATAAAGAAAGAAACTGGGGCCTCCTGGAAGAAGCAAAAAAGATGGGAAGAGGAGGCAACAACAAAAAGTCCCCAGGTGCCAACCCTGAGAACACTTACCCAGGACAGGTAAATACAAAGGAGAATGAGAACAGCAAACATGCAATATCAGACACAGCACCAGTGACATACAGAGATATATTCGGGACCTCATAGACAAGTTGAAAAGTGAAATATTTAGCCAAAAAAAGCAAGATATAAGATTAATAAAAGAGATACTAAGCACCTGTCGAGCAGACACAGATGGAAGAAGGAGGACCTCAAATACAGGAGAGAACCATTTGGTGAAGAATATAAAAAAAATACAGAATACATAAAGCAGATTCAAAGAGATCACCAGGAAATTAAAAACTCTATGGAAAGATGGCAAATCTGCTTGAAAGAAACTAAGGATAGATTATCCAAACTGGAGGACAATTTTGCAATGTGGGAGTATGAAAGGGAAAACTTTTTAAAAATAACAAGGAATGGGGCTGGGGATTTAGCTCAGCGGCATAAGTGCCTGCCTTGCAAGCAGGCAGTCGTGAGTTCAATCCCCGGGAACCGATAAAAAGGAAAAAGACCAAAAATAATAATAATAATAATAATAATAATAATAAGGAAACAAGCAGTAACAATACTTGAGAATAAAGAATGTAAATGAAGAAGCTGGGATACAAACAAAGGAACTACAAAGGTTATTCACAGAAATAATTAAGGAAAACTTCCCAAACATAGGAAAAGGAAATGATATTCAAATGTAGAAGGCATACAGAACCCCAACCACCTACAACCAAAACAGAACTACACCAGGCATATAATAATCAAGATCCCAGAAATTCAATATAACAACAGAATATTAAAAGCTGTTAGAGACAAGAAACAGATAACCTACAGAGGAAGGCCCATCAGAATAATGACAGATTTCTCAACACAAACCATCAAGTCAAGAAGAGCCTAGAGCAAAATATTCCAAGCCCTGAAAGAAAATAATCTCCATCCCAGATTGATATACCCCGATAAACTGTCTCTAGAAATTAATGGAGAAACAAGATGCTTCCAAGACAAAGAGGAACTTGGGAAATTTGCAACCACCAATCCAACCCCACAGAGAACACTGCAGGGCATTCTAGAGAGAGAGAAAACTACTAGCATTTCAGGAACAGTGGCAGAGAGGCCTCAATGAATGGAACAGAAAACAGAATGAAGAAGACAAGCAGACAATAGATGGCAAAAAAAGAGCATAACAGAAATGAGGCAGAGAAGATTTTATTCAAAACTGATATGATTGATAGTATCAAGTCTGAGAGTATAGGCAACTACACTGAAGATGACAAGACTCAACAATACATTCTGGTTTGATAACTGCCGGTTTTTGAAGTTCTATATTATATACAAAGTTGTGTTTTTATTAATGTTATGTACTGATACATTCACTTATACTATGTCTGATGATATAACCAATTCTATTGCAGATAACAAGAGACAACACAGGAACCATGGTAGAACTCTTTGTACAATGGTCTTATATGTTTATTTCATGTGTTTATAGGAATATGTTTTGTTTTCCCTTGCTTTGTCTTTTTTCTCCCTCTAATATAGAAAGGATACAAATACATGTTAAGACTCATGCATGTGTAGAATCTATAAACAGTTTATGAGAACTGATCACATGACACATGATGAAATGAACAGATACTCTCAAGAAAAAGAGACACCAAAACACCCAGTGCTGATCCTGGAGTGTCATAATGTGAAACCCAGTAATAGTATTATTCTTTGTTCAGAGTGATATTATGCTGCTTGGGTTTGTTCAATCTCAGCATAACTGAAGATATGGATAACTGCATGTATGTTTAAGTGTATAGGATTGATAACCATATTTCTAAGTTTTTGTTGGATAGTTGAACAGAACTAGTTGCAATCTCATTGTTTGAATCCCTACTTTATAAGCTCCACTTTAGTATCTTGAATAACTATTTGTAAGAAGACAATCTGTAATCATCAACTAGTGATTTCTTACTGTTTATTTTTTTCTTTGAAATTGTATATTATTTCTACCTCTTTTCTGTTTTGTTTAGTCTTTCTTTAAATTAAAAAAAAAGACACTACAGTACCCAGTGATCATGGAGTGTCATGATGTGAAATCCAACAATACTATTATTCTTTGTTCAGAATGATTTTAACCTGCTTTAGTTTATTTAATCTAAACATAAATGAAGATATGGATAACTGCATGTATGTTTAAGTGTATAGGATTGACAACCATGTTACTAAGTTTTAGTTGGATAGTTGAACAGAACTGTTTGTGCTCACTGTTTGAATTCCCATTTACAAGTTCCATTTTTTATCTTGAACGATTTGTAAAACAACAATATGTAAACATCAACTAGTGATTTCTTACTGTTTATTTTTTCTCTGAATGTATGTATTATTTCTACCTATTTTGTTTTGTTTAATCTTTCTTTAAATAAAATTAAAAAGAACACTAAGCTCTTGTAAACAGGGAGGGGAACTAAGGTTGAAGAGAGGGTAAGGCAATGAGGAAAAAAATCAAAACACATACAGATAAAAACTGCCTATGATGAATATGATCATGATGTATATTTAAAATACAGATACAAACTGCCTATCATGAATATGATCATGATGTAAATTTAAAATGTACCAACAAAATTAGTAAAAGATAAATAAAATAAAAACTATTCCTTTACTCTGCCACACTTCTATTGACCCATCTATTCATATCTATCAAAAATACTTAGCATTTTATAATTTCTTCTCTTTTTCAAAAAGTGTGACTGCACAAGGTTCACTTCCTTCACTTTAGGTTACCCATTTGAAGCTGTGTTATAGGACATATTCTTGAGTTCCCAAGTGGTTACTATTAAAAGTATGCAGCACCATGCTTCAGTGATGTCTGTTTTATGCAAGCATTGTACTCTTGGTAAATCATGGTAATTTAAGATCCCGATCTTCAACTAGCAAGGTGACAAACATCTATGATCTCCTAAGACAGGAAGATGAAAACTATCAAAATTTCTCCCAAGCCAGTATACCTCAGTAAGATCTGCTCTCAAACAGTTTTTTAAAAGTTGCGAGTTAGTGATGTAACTTAGGAGAAAGTTTGACTTCAGATTCCGTACAATGAAAAAGCTCAAACACATCTTGAAATCTTTTGTATCCAAGAGGAACCCCTTTCCATTTTACAACAGTGATGATGTCCAATCTACTTTTAAACCTACAAGACAAGTTTCCTAACTTCTAATATTGCCTCAAAAAAATTCTCATATTGCCTCTAATATTGCATTACGTGAGCCACAGAAGAAATACTGATCTGTTACTAAAGCCTCCTTTCTTTCCGTCCGTGAACTCTGATCCAATGGCAGAACAAGTAACAAGCTTTCATTTATTATCACACTAAGAACAATCTGACTTTTGGAAAAGTTTACTTTTGTAGCTGCTGGTTTTTGCCAGCCTTCAAAATCCCCTGCTCTCCCATTTCCATTTGCTCTTGCCTGTTCAAAAAATTCTTTTATTTTATTCATTCAAGTAATCACTGACCTTAACTATGGGAATTTACTTCTACTTCGATACTTCTTTTAATAAACATTTCATTCAGTGTTTCAATTTTTAAAAACAGCGTCTAGAAACAGCCCACAGACTACAAGGCAGTTAAGTTTAGACATGGAGTCCCTGTCCTCTTCCAATTATTATGCCTCCCTGTAAATGCTCCAGTTCAGTGCATTTCTCGGTGTGGTTTTAACATGCAGTCCTTTGAGGAAGCCGTCCTTAGAAGAAACACTTTCCGCCCCCTTGTTAACACATTAACATTCCCTGAATGATTCTCAGCATTCTAAATTTTATGGAAACCCTCACTTAAATATCCAGTGTTTTTCTAAAATGCCAGGTTCGTTTTACAAGTGCATGCTGAGGAAATGGATGAACAAGCCTGAGTTCAAAGTGATTGTTTTATATCCACAGAGCCCTCTGTGAAAAAAGGTGGTCACAAACCAACTGGGCATTTACTGGGCTCTGCTTATCTACAATTAGCTCTGGATTGAGCGGCCATAGAGCTACTAACTCGGGGCACTTCTGGAAATTACGGAGCTAGTCTTATTATTTCCAATAAAATCCCTCCTAACTCGTTTCTTCGGATTCGCGATCTCTTTCCTCAATGTTGTGAGACCATGAGCCCTGTTTATGCAGTAACATGGTTGAGAGTAAAGGTCTCATGTGAGAAACTGAAGCGATGACTTTTCCATCACTGAGGAAGGATCCTAGGGTTCCCCAAAGCCGCTGCTCTCTGCAGACCCGGGGATATTCACCTCCGCCTGGGCCGCACAGTAAGGGACCGTGAGGCAGCAGTGTAACAGCACAGTGTCTGCATGCTGCGGACCCAGCACTGTCTCTGCCTGGGCAAAAGGGAAACGTTTCAGAGGGTGACGCAGCGCCCAAAGGAGACTTCGGCGTCTGCAGCTGAGTACGGGAGCCGTAAGGCGATCCTCACAGCAGTTTCCGACTACTTCCGTCCGGACCGCACCCTGCTCCATCCCAACCCCTAATCCCTTCCCGCATCGTCACCATTGCGTGCTTGAAGGTCTCCCAGGATCTTTCCAATGCAGCGCGCAGCCAGGAAAAATCACGGAAAAAGGTGGTCTATCAGTGGGGTCCTGTCGGTGTCATAGGAACAGTGGTTCCCGCGGCGCCATGACACCGGAAATGCCCTCCCCCTCTTGCCACCTGATTGGGTAGTTCAGACAGTGTTCATCGCTGATGGATTCCCGCTTCTTTGCCTGACAGCTGAGCTGAGAGTGACAGGCAAAACAAACCTGCTCCAGCTGGAGTGGATCTAAAATAATAAATTGTTTATTTTTTGTCTTTTTTGAGGTAGGGTTTCGCTGTGCAACTCATGATGATCTTGAGCTCACTTTCTACCCCAAGATGACCTCGAACTCGCGGTTGTACTCCTGCCCCCAAAGACTTTAGTGTTGAAATTACTGACTTGAGCCACGAAACTCAGCTCAAATGATAAACTGGAACTCAGGAAATTCTGAATCAGTCTCTTTCCCACAATATCAGTCTCACTTTCCATTTAGAATGATTGTATTTAAAGACTTTACTTCTAGCTTTTCAAAGCTCCCTTTTTTTAATGGATGCAGTGGACTCTTCTTGAAAATGAGTCACAAATATGCTCAGAAGGTTTCAGAGCCACTGTCCTTCGGAAGAATCAATCCCTTTATCTCAGAAGACGTCATGAGTCCAGGCCAGTCTGGAACAAAATGGAATACAGGGAGGATCACAGAATTGGAAATACAGATCTGTATCCAGATTGTGTAGCATGTCTTTGCTCTGTCGATTGAAATTATTTTTTATCTGTAATATCTATTCCTATCACATTTGAGGCGTCACTTAAGCCTCACTTAATGATGACCTTGAGCTCACTTTTTAATTTATTATTAAGAACTACAGGATACTCACTGTGCTAGAACCTTAGAATGCTTTCAAGGCTTATAAACACATAACAGATCCTTTCTTTGTAATTTAATACTTGAATCCAGAACAGATGAACAGAGACCAAAGCAAATCATAATATAGGTCATATTAAAGGTGCGAGTAGATTGTGGACAATGTAACATCAAATGCTGAATGATTTCCTATGGGAAATAAGTGGATCCAGAAAGAAAAATCAGGCCTCAAAAACCAGATTTACAGAAGAGGGTAGAATTTCAGACCAATGCTTCAGTGAAGAGTACTAAGAGATATGTTAAGGACCTCAGCACTGACTTCAGTTTTCCTCTCACAGTATCCTCCGGATACACACTTCTAAAAATATTCTTCTATAAAATGTTGTGAGTGGGCCAGAGGTTTAGCTCAGGGGCACAAGCACTTGCTTGGCAAGTGTGAAGTCATGAGTTTGATCCCCAGTACCAAAAAAAAAAAAGTTATGAGTCTACAGTCTTAATAAAGATATCACAATACGTGTTTCATTCTATTCATTTACTGTGAAAGAGTGCTTCAGAGTATTTAAATTACTGCAGTATCATTGACAAGTTGTGAATTTATAATAATAAATTAAACACATTTGCAGGGAACCCTCGATCTTTCAACCAGTTGAATCATTGTAATAAATGTTGACGTTTGCATGTGATGTAAGGACAAATATTTAGGCAAGTAAGAATGATGCACGGCAAAAACTGGATCCTGATCAAGTCACCAACAATAGAGCAGTAAATCAAGCCTCCCTGATACCCAGGTTTCTGTGTTTAGGGCATGGAGATTCAAGGGGAAACAGATATCCATGCACTGTGGATTGCTTCCTGATTTATGTCAGTGGTTTCAAATCAGCAGCCCAATGTAAAATTCAATATGACTTATATAGTTTATATTTTGGGAACAGAATATTTAACAATACAGAGTTAAGATATGGGACTGTTCTGCTTTCCTGAATGCAATGATGTTATTAATATGAAAAAGGTTATATGACTGAGGTGGGTATCTTATAAAACAGAACTCACTTGTGCTTTCTATTCCACACATGGTCACCTAGCATTCAACATTATATCATGCAGAAAAAGTGTTTAACTAGATCTTTTGTGCTATTCTTTTACCCTTTCCAGCCTTAATATTCCAAAGAATTTGTTTCTATTATTTACTAATTACTCTATGTATGACACCGTGACAAACAATAGATTGGAACATTGATAGTCTTGTTAGGAATGAGAAAAAAATTATTCCCATTCACTGTCTGAGACAGCAATTGTGTAGAGAATACTGATTGCAGCAGGTAGAGTTTCCATGCACACACATCCTTAGCTTTTCCACAATATTAGGTAGAGTTTCCATGCACACATATCCTTAGCTTTTCCACAATATTAGGAATTAGGAAATTTCCCAAAAGGAGTACAGTCCAGAGGAGGGGATAAATGACACTAGAACTAAGATGAAGGGTGTTTCACATACAAAACCAAAACAAGTAATACCCCCCAAAATCCCAAAATACACAAAAGAGACAGTTTATGAAAATAGTATAGTGCTGGAACTTTCACAATTTCACACAGACCCAGAGTGGGCAGAATAAAAGGGTTTGGAATTAAGGTCAAATGCAAAATATTGGTTGATAAAATGGTGAGTTTCAAACATGACATTGAAGACAAAGCCATAAACTCAGGCACTGAAGCTTTGGGGCAATTGCTAACTTAAAAGGATCTGCTCACTGGGAGTCTGATTTGACAAAGCTGCTGAAGCTTTCTTAACTTGCATCTTATCCTATTAATGTGCAAAACTGTGATATAACTGCTACACCATTGCTTTCCAGAAGAAAAAACTTGTGTTCTTGTACTGCAGGTACAAAGACAAGACAGTATTATGGCACAAAAGTGTCAGGCCAATTTCTCCTCTATGCTCAATTTAAATTATTTATGTAAGATACATAGAGTAAAAGTCAAATAGAATCCAAAATTGCAAAAAAGAGAAATATCATTAATATGGAAAAATGTACATAAATGGGTTGATATATCTTAAATGTTATTTTCAATTTAATGAAATTCTAAACTATTTCCAATCACTATTTCCTCTTTTGTTTCTTCCTTCCATCCTTCCATCATTCTTTCGTCAGTCATACCTGTAATTGCCCAGTAGGCTATTGAATAGATTGGCCATGTTGGGAGGGGTGGTGGTCATGCACACTCAGCAATATGGACTTACTCTCACCAGGCCAGATCTGGTTATAGTCAATGATATATGCCCTATATGGCTATATGCCCACTGATTCTCCAATATGGCACCAATTCTGGGAATGATCAGCCTATGACTGGGTAGCAGTCAGACTCAACTGCTTCCAGCATGGAAAGGAGAGTGCTTTGTACTTATTGTCACACTTATATTGTAGTTGGATTTGCCTTTCCTGCTTATAATGTTGCTCCCAGTACTCCTATTCATGGATTTACATAATGCCTTTTCACCTTAAATTCCACACGGCATTGGATCTCACACCAAGAAACACATTTGACAGCCAATGAAGTGAAGAGATGGGCTCACACTCATGGAATTCACTGGGCTTACCATGTTCTTCAACATCCAGAAACAGATTATTTGATAGAAAGTTGAAATGGCCCTTTGAAGACATGCTTGCACGACAAGGGAAAGGTTCTACAAAAGGTTATACATGCTTTGAATCAGTATCCAACATAGAGTAGTGTTCACTATTACCAGGATACGAGTTCAAGAATCATGGGATGGAAGAGTGGTAGCACTCACCATTACTGATGAGATCTACCAGCAAAACTTTGAACCCTGTTCTCATGACTTTATGGTCAGCTGGTTTACACAGAAGTCTTAGTTTTGGGGGCTGGAGCAATCACAGAAAGGATACCACTGAATGGGATGCAAAGACTTCCCCCTTGGTCATTTTTGTTTCCTTATGACACTGAGGAATCAAGCTAAAAAAGGAGTTTCACTGTTGAGGGGGTGACTGACCTAGATTCAAAGAGAAAACTAAACTCTTACTTACTCTACAATGGAAGAGAGAAAAATATATTTGGAGAGCAGAACCTGTGAGGTACCTCCCAGTATAACCATGCCTTGTTACTAGTCAAAGGTAAACTATAACAATCCAATCCAGAAAGAATGTCAAATGTTCCACAACCTTCAAGAATGAAGCTATGGGTCACCACATCAAGGGAAGAACCATCTTCTGAGGGACTTGCTGATGGTCAAGGAAATACCGGGTGGGTAGTACAAGTTAGATATAAATGAGAGCTATGGCCCTGTGATCAGCTACAGAAACAAGGATTATAATTGTAATAGTTCTTTCCCAATATGCTTCCAATGCAATATGTTAATAATAGACTTAATTAAGCCTTGTTAAACGTATGTTATAGTCATCAAGTTATGAAATGTTAGAAGCATGTTCCAAAGAAAATTTCCCTTCTAATCTCGGGACGGAATTAGTTTGTTCCCATTTGCATTCTGAAGTTACAACACATAAGGTACATTTATGTGCTCATCTTTTCATTGAGAGTATGGTTTAAAGAAATGTGTCTGGTGTGAATGTAGCAAGGGATAGATTGTGAGAGTTAACTGATTGTGTCAAAACTAATCGTAGTACTGACTGAGTACTACATGCCCAACTAAATTAATCCAGCAAATTCTGGATGTGGAAGACCTACTCTAGGGAGGATTATTGCCATATGGTATAAAAAAGAAATGAAAATGGAAGGCTTGTTTCTTTTCAGGTACCGTACTCACCATCATCTTGGAAGTCATCTCTAGCTTCTAGCAGACACTTCAGCCTCCCAGTGCAGACTCTTTAGCCTGCAACTCAGACCATTCATTCTTCTGGCGCAGATGCCTTGTCTCTTGACACAGCTTCCCACGGAGACTGCAGTGGGCACCAAGCTTTCAACTGGAGTTTTTGTATATCTAGTGCAATAAAGATCTTTTGCAACCATATTTGATTGTGCAGGAAGTCCTTTTAAACCAACATTGTAAATTTTTATATATGTCTCACATGAAACTTATTTCTCTAGTAAACGCTAACTGATACATTATTCCAATTCATATCCTTTCACAGAGAAGTCATGGTCTATCTGTTCTTACACAATCAAAAACAGTATGGTTTATTTTTTGGTATAACTGTTAATAAAATTACAATGAATTTGAGTTCATAAAAATATAAGCATAAAAAGCCAAATGTTGGTGAATAGAAAACAAAATGTTATGTAAATCATAATACTAACATAGACTTGAAAGCAAAATACATGAAATTACAAACTTGATATGTTGGGATATATCCAGGTGTTCTACTAGGATATGAAAAACCAAAGGTTTTCTAATATACAGATTGTATGAAAACAACTCGTATTTTTAAAACTCAATGTTCACATCTCTAAATATGCATATACATGCATACATACTATAACTTTAAATTTAAAAAATTATTTTACAACCAATGTTTTATATATATATATATATATATATATATATATATATATATATATATACCATGAAAACTAAAATCAAAGTTACTGGGAAATTCCATCAATTAAAAAACAATAAAATTTGTTTCCTTAAAGGGCATACTTCCCAATATTAAAAACAAAACAAAATCAAAACTATACAAATACTAATCCTACTTGAAGTGAGAAATAAAATTCAATTCCCCCTATTTAATTAGAAAATACTATATATTAACTTGAAAGACAATGACTTACACAAAAATATGTCTGTATTTTTTATAGTAAAAAACATGGATACTTAGACATTTACTGAAACACAAAAGGAATACATTCTAGGGTATCTCCCTCAGAGTGGTTTTTTCTGGAAAATTTATGAAGAAATGATAACAAAGTTCCCATTTAATTTGTACATATCTCCACTATATGAAGAATTTTCACAAGATTTTCAAAATAGGCTTACATGTTTAGGGATTCTCTCCAGTGTAACTTGTTTCTATTTTGTAAAAAGTGTATATTGAATGCTTTCTTCACATCACTTAAACACAAAGCGTTCCTACCCAGTGTGAGATCTAGATAAGTTGAAGATATAGTAGCAAATCTTTTTTCATAAGACTGCCACGCTAGGGATTCTAATCTGTGTGAGTTTTTTCATGCCTTTGGCAATATCTGTGAAGTGAATGCCTTTCCACACTACTTGCTTGTTTCCTTAGGGAAACAAGCATAGGTTTCTTCCCTATGTGACTTTTTCATGTACACAGTAAGAACCCTTTGTTGTGAATGCTCTTCAACATTCATTGAACTCATAGTTTCCCCCCAGTGTTTGAGTATTTTCATGTATTTGACAGCATTATTGTGTAAAGAATGTTTTCCCACATTCATTGCATACATAAAGTTTCTCTTCACTGTAATTTTTTTAATGGCTTTAGAGATACCTGTGTGTAGCAAATGCCTTCTCACATTGCTTGCAAACATATGGTTTTTTCCGTGTGAATTTTTTCACATTCTTTATAATAACTCTGTAGTGAATGCTTTTCCACGTTGCTTGCACACAAGAGGTTTTTCCACAGTGTGACTCTTTTCATGTCTATTATGAGAATTCTTTGTAGTGAATGCTTTTCCACAATGCTTGCACACATAAGGTCTCTCACCAGTGTGCATTCTTTCATGTTTTTGACAGTGTTGGTTTATAGAGAAGGCTTTCCCACATTCCTTGCACACATAAGGTTTCACTCCTGTGTGAGTTCTTTCATGGATGTTATAAGAATTCTTTGTAGTAAATGCTTTTCCACATTGCTTGCACACATAAGGTTTCTCACCAGTGTGAATTCGTTTATGTATTTTATAAGAATACAACCTAGTGAATGCTTTTCCACATTCCTTACACATATAAGGTTTCTCCCCAGTGTGAGTTCTTTCATGTTTTTTACAAGTACTCCGCAAAGTGAATGCTTTCCCACATTCCTTGCACACATAAGGTTTCTCCCCAGTGTGGGTTCTTTCATGTATTTTACAACTATGCTTTGAAGTGAATGCTTTACCACATTTCTTGCATACATAATAACGTTTCTCCCCAGCATGAGTTCTTTCATGTCTTTTATGAACTTTGTGTGTAGGGAATACTTTTCCACATTGGTTGCACACATAAGCTTTTTCCCTTGTGTGACTTTTTTCATGCCTTTTAGAAGAACTCTTTGTAGTGAATGCTTTCCCACATTCCTTGCACACATAAGGTTTCTCCCCAGTGTGACATCTTTCATGTATTTGACAATATCTGTATGTAGTAAATGCTTTTCCACATTGCTTGCACACATAAGGTTTCTCTCCAGTGTGAGTTCTTTCATGTCTTTGGCAGTTACTGTATACGCTGAATGTTTTCCCACATTCCCTGCATACATAAGATTTCTCCCCGGTGTGCATTCTTTCATGTACTTTACAATAACCAATTGTGCTAAATGCTTTCCCACACTGCTTACATGCATAGGGTTTCTCCCCAGTGTGACATCTTTCATGTATTTGACAATAACTGTGCGTAGTGAATGCTTTCCCACATAGCTTGCAAACAAAAGGCTTTTCCCCTGCATGAATCTTTTCATGTATGTTACAAGAATACTTTGTAGTAAATGCTTTTCCACACTGCTTACACAGAAATAGTTTCTCCCCAGTGTGACTTCTTCTAGGTCTTTCACAGGTTTTGTGTGTGCTGAATGCTTTCCCACATTGGTTACCTATGTAGTGTTTCCCCTCCATGTGAAATCTTTCATGAATTTTAAAACAGCTTTGAGTACTGAAAGTTTTCCCATCTCGCTTGCATATACATGGTTTCCTCCCAGTGTGAACACTTCCATAAATCTGAACAGCACTGGGAGTCCTGGAGACTTCCACACTTTTCTTACCTACAATGATCTTGTCTCCAACGTGAGTTCTTTCACTATGTGCACAGCAGCTTTTCCCATATTGCTCATGTTGAAAAGGCATGTTTCCTGTCTGTATTCCTGCATGTTTGAGAAAGGACTGGAGATCACTGCAGATTTTTCCATGTTCATTAAATATACACAGCTGGTCATCAAATCTCAAACATTCATCTGGCTTCAGGCCAATGTAAGGAAAAATGAGTTCATTTTGTGATAAATTCCCAATCAGGAGCTCACTACAGACAAAATTTTCAGCTACTTTTAAAGCAGCTTGTTGCATATCCATATTAGCACCTGGAGTCCAAAAGAACAGATTTTCATATTGATTCCAAGGTTTGTGTTGATACCATTTTACTACCTCTTCATTTCTATAAGAAAAAAGATAAAAGTATCATTCACAAGAAAAAGATTTCTCTATGAAGAATTTACCAGGACAAGTTCTGCTTTGATGCCTGATAAAAATGTTTAAGAACAAATTGAGTGAATACCTCAAATGATGGTGTTCACTTGGGAATTTCAAATTGATAAATATTTACAATACTTGACATCTAATTTCATTTAGGTATTTATATTTTCTGACACCTTTTGTCTCGTCACTCTACCCTTCTCTCTTTACCTAGTCATCTTTCCAATCTCCAACAAGTCAGCCTTTTAGTTCTCTACCACTTCTCAACTTTACTACCTAATTTAAAGTTTGATATCTCATAAAAATTCACTTTATGTGCCTGACTTTTCACTTTACATAAGATAGAATCCATCTTTTTTTTTTTTTTTTTTTTTTTTTTTGGTCTTTTTCCTTTTTATCGGTACCGTGGATCGAACTCACAATTGCACTTATGCCGCTGAGCTAAATCCCCAGCCCCCGAATCCCATCTTTTTTTGTCAAAAGATATGATATTATTCTTTATGGCTGAATACATAACACATGGTTTCAGTGTTGAGAATTAAATAAAGGTCTTAGCATTAAACTATATTTCTAGATTTGTTATGTCATGTTTAGAGAGTCTTCTAGATCAGTAATTTAGAGTGTGAATTTCATGTTGTCATCCTGCTCACTCAGTTTATTAGAGTGCTGGGATTATAAGAAGGTACCACTATGTTGAGCCTCTCCCACGTGATCATTATGGGTACATTCCATGGTACATTCCATGGTAGGCATCCAGGCTGTTACAGCAATTTAGGTATTGTGAATTATTTCCAGAATTTAGGTACTGTGAATACTCATGTACACCCACCCTGCTTTGAGCATGAGTATGCATGTGTAAGAAAGATATGATCATTTAAAACTCTTTCAGAATATACATAGAGAGGCTTGTCTGGATCATACACAAACTTGTATTTTTACATTTGAGACATCTGTATATTGATTATCTAAATGCTCCTATTGTACACTCCTACCAACATCATTTGAGGGTGGCTTCTAAGGCTTTAGAAACATAAATGTACCCAGTTTTCTGGAGGATGTGTTGAAAACATCTATCATTACACTTGCATTAATTTGCCTTTTGAATATTGCTCCCAGGGCAGCAATTTTTTAGATAATGTAATGTCTCATATTCAGATATACACCCAAACATGTAACTTGAAGATGAGTTTCAGTCAATGTCCAAAATTTATCCTTTTCATACATGCCTATGCATAATACCTAAAGGCAATTGATACATTTTCATGATGTTAATCATGAAAGTTTTTTATACTGATGTATAATGTCTCTTGTTGCATAGTGTCCCTACAAAGTTAGTCTGTTATATTAAAGTATTTCTGTATTCAGTGTCAGATTTTATAAAAGCATATGTAGCATACCAGGAGAATTTTTATGACATTAAATAAATGTGAACACAACATCATTTGTCTACTTTCCTAGGTTGTAATATTTGTGCTTATTCAACAACTCTTAGGGAATATTCCTTTTCCTTATGAATGCAAATTACCTTAGATTTCTTGGCAAACATTTGTATTCTTGTTCAACTTGCTGGTTTTCCCAGGTCCTCCCTGAAATACAGTCATAGAAATACAAAAAGTCACTACATCATTATATAAAAATTGGCAGATAGCAATTAAATTCATGGTATTATCATGTTAACAGGCCTGAGATATTCTTCAAAATTTTTTCATGTTCTATTTAATGAATCACTAGTAATGAGTAAGAACCAATGTTCTCTCACTTCACAAATGAGAAAATGATGTCATTCTTACCTATAGCAGTCATATTCATAAATGTTTCCCACATCACATCTCTGTAGAGCTTCTTCTGGGATGGATTCAGCAAAGCCCACTCTTCCATGGTGAAGTTCATAGATACATCCTCCAAGGTCAAGGGCTCCTAAATAATCACAAATGTATTTCTTAAAAGAAGAATGAGGCTCCCATCTATGATATCTGAACTGCTCTTGGAAAAGCTGAATCGAGTTTGATTCCTTCAATCAACGGCATGTCTTGGTCACCAAACCTATGTGAATGGACATATATTTACATAACAATTCTGATACCAGATTTAATTTTTTTTTGTCTTTTTTCTTTTTTTATCAGTACCAGGGATCGAACTCATGACTGCCTTGCTTGCAAGGCAGGTGCTTATGCCGCTGAGCTAAATCCCCAGCCTCTGATACTAGATTCTAATTCACTGCTACAGAAATAGCCAAATTGTAGCACTGATTGTCTGAAATGGTCACAGATACTGTATTTCTGTACTGATTCTAAACAGAGCTCAGGGATGGAACCAGCAAATCACCATCCACAAAACATAGGAGCAGATAAATACCTAATGAATGGTTCTGATAGACCACAGATTATATCTCTTCAAATCTGACTATTCCTAGAATTAAGTCATTCTGCCTCTGATTGTAGTTAGGTAGCATTTTAAAATATGAATTAGATTTGATAAAAAAGTTAATTGCACATTAAATAAGGTTGGTTATTTTGGTCCCCATTTAGAGTTCTGGTTTTCACCCCACAGAAACCATGAGATATTTACATGTATATCCAATTTATTTCACTTAGGAGTATGACATCAATATGCATCTACTTAGCCAGGTATGTCTCAAGCTTATCAGACCAGTACTTTTTCTATAAAACATTTTACTTAAAATATCACTTACAGAAAAAAAAATCACAGTAATAGTTTTAATTGTATGAAAGATAATAAAAAACAAAACCTATCTTGAAATAACAAGCCCACAGGCAGTGGAATAGAGGCATGAAGAAGTTGAAATACGAATATCCTTACAATGTGATATTTATTAGGTTATCCAACAGAAACCTCACATAATCTTTTCATTATCCTAATAATGATATATTAATTAATGTCACCTATTAACTCTTTCAAAACTTCAAAGAGAGGAAAACCGATAACATTTAATTGATGAGACTGTTAAAAGGCCAACAAGTTTCCAAATTTCCATCCTACAACCACCACAGGGATAGTTATATGAAATCAGGGAAATGTAGAGGAGACAATCACAGATGATTTTCTCATCTCTATCTTTATTCAATAGATCTGTAAGCACACTTATGATAATGTGCCATAAGGTTTGGGTGTTTTGCATGTGGATATCCAGTAGTTCCACTATATTTATTGAGGATACAATCCTTTCTCCACTTAATTGCTTTTGTATCTTTGCCAGAAGTCATTTGTCTGTTATGTGGGTATCTATTTTAGAACTTTATATTGGTACTTTGGTGGTTTGTGTATCTTGATATCAATGCTGTTTGTCATGACTGGTTTAACTTTGTGATAAGTCGTGAGACTACAGAGGGTTAGAGCTCTAATTTTGTTCCTTTATCAAAGTTATTTAGACTATTCTGAGTCTTTTCCATTTTTACAGAAATGCAAGCATAAAAAATGTTAATCTTTAAGAAAAATGATGTTGGCAGTTTGATAACAGATTGTGTTTTCTGATCTTTATTATTTTCTTCTATTCAATTTTGGTTTTATTCTGTCTTTCATTTTTAATTTCTTAAGGAAAGATATGAGACTATTTCATAACTTTTTTCTTTTCTCATAAATGTACTTGGTGTTAAAAAAAAAAAAGAAACCATGAGCCAAAATAAAGCATTCTTCCTTTTAAAAATAACCCACATATTTATGATAAATGCAAAACAAATAAGGCATCTAAATATCTCTTTACCTTCTCAGATGTTTTCAATTGTACACTTGGTTTTAAATTTATAAAATCACAATCAAAGGGAGAAATCTTGAAAAGCAATTTTTAAGTCCCTGAGGTAACTTGTATTTTAAACAAAACTTCCTCAAAAAGAAGCGAAAGGGAGAATAGTTAGGTAAGAAGTCTGCTTTACTGCCATTCACAAGGGAACGCACACGCAGAAGGTTAAATATATTCCTAAGATTATATACAATTCTCAGGGCTTCTGTAGCCCAGAGTGGCTCAATCATGGATAGTGAGGCAGGGAAAAATGAGAATCAGGAAAGTTAAAAATGGCAATTTTTCACATCACAGGGAGAAATTGCTCTGTTCTTTATAGTCTCAATATGGAGCAGAGGCAAATATTCACCAACATCAGCAGAAGTAGGACTTTTGACTTTTCCCAAAATTTTTTTGAACTTGTATATATTGTTTGCTGAGCACTAATTCTACAATGACAATAAAAAATAGTGCCCAAAATCAACACACCACTAAAAATGATCAAAATGTTGACAAATTCAGAGCAGAATCCTAATGCACCGCTTCAAAGGGAAGACTGGTGTTCAAGGCATATAATGTTGTGGCTAAGTACATCTGGAGTCTCACTTTTTAAAATTTGTTCCATTCTCAAGTCTCTCTCCTTCTCTCTCCTCTCTCTCTCTCTCTCTCTCTCTCTCTCTCTCTCTCTCCCCCTTATCCCTCCCCCGTGAAAGAATCATGATTTTTATCACAGTTTTGTAGTATAATTTCAAGTCTGAGAATGTGATGCACCTTGGCTTGCCTTGGTTGTCCAGAACTGTCTTTGCTATTCTAGGTCGCTTTTAATTGCAAATACAATTTAGGAATGTTTTCTCTAATTCTGTGAAATATGCTGTGGGAATTTTCATACGAATTGCATTAAATCGGAATAACAGTTTTGGAAGTATGGCCAATTTTACCTCATTGGTTCTTCTTATGCAAGAGCAAGGCATATCCTTCCATTTCCTGATAACCTCTTCATTGTTGTTTTTTTTAAGAATACAGCAGTTTGCAATGTTGAGGTCTTTTATGCCATTTTTAATCCCTCAACATTTGATTTTTTCTAATCTTTTTGTGCTTTTTCATAATTTCACTCAATTAATTTGTCATTCTCCCACAGGAAGACTATTAATTTCTTAGTGCTTACTTTGTATCCACCTACAATACTGAATATATGAAATCTATACGTCTTTTGGTGTAGTTTTAACGTCTTCTGTGTAGAGTATCTTGTCATCATGGAGCAATGACAATTTAATTATTTTTTTTCTTTTAATTTTCTTTCTCTTGTGTAATTGCTCTGGCTAAAGTTTCCTGAAAAATATTGAAGATGAGTAGTGACAGTGGATATCCTTGTCTTGTTCCCAATTTTAGAGTGAAAGCTTTCAGTTTTTGTCCATTTAGTATAATGCTGCCTGTTGGTTTGTTATACATGGCATTTATCAGATTGAGATAAAGACATTTACTCCAACTTTATGAAGTGTTTTTATGATGAATGGGTGTTAATCTTTGTTAAAATATTTTTCTGAATCTAGTAAGAGGATCATACAGATTTTGCCCTTGGCTTTGTTAATATGGTATATTATACTCCCTGATTTATGTACATTGAAACATCCCTGCATCCCTGGGATAAAACCAACATGATCATGATGTGTAATCTTCTTGATGAGTTGCTGCATACTGTTTGCAACCATCTTAAAGAGGACTTTTGCATCTATGTTCATTAGGCAGATTGGGTGATAGTTCTACTTTTTACTTGGAACCTTCTCTTGTTTTGATATTTGGGAAAGGCTTGTTTCCAGGAATGCGTTTGGGAGTGCTGCTTTTGTTTCAATTACAATACAGAGTTTGAGTACTACTATTATAGTTCTCTACATTTCTTGTAGAATTCGCAGTGAATCCATCAGGACCTGAGATTTTCTTTATTGATAGATTTTTAATTATATCTTTGATTTCTTTTTTTTTAATTTAAAGAAAAGGAAACAAAAAATACATGGAGATTTTTAAAAAGGTACAAACAATACAAAATTACAGAAAATCAAACGGTAAGAAATTGCTGGTTGATAAGTTACATATTGTCATCTTAGAAATAGCTGTTCAGGTTCTAGAATTAAAGTATTTAGAATGACATTCAAAAAGTGACACTACAAACAGTTCTGCTCAATGATCGAACAAAAACTCAGTAATATGTTTATCAATCCTACACATTTGTTTTACATCTCAAAGAGGGTAAGATTAAACATATCAAAACAGAACAAAACAGTTAAAAAAAACAATTTAAAGAAATACAGATTTCAAAGCAAGTCCACTGGAGATCTTCACTGTCTATCTAACTGTCTCTAGTTTCTTACAAAAAGTTGTCCCCATCTTCACCCACTTTATATACTTATTGCATATTATAGAACTAATCAACTCATTACAGGATGATGAAGGCTTTTTAGGTCTTCAAGATCTAACATTAGGGAAGACAATAATAACTACCATCGCATCTCTCATTCTCTTCGTGATAGCTGTCCCCATCTCTACATATGCTGAAATTGAACTCAAGAGACCAGACCAATGTCATTTTAATCAGCGAACAATAGTATTGCTAGAATTTATATCATAATGCTACAAAATTAGCCTCGGGTTTCTTAGCGTCTCTTCTTGAGTATCTGTTCATTACATCTTGCATTATATAATCTGTTCCCGTAAATAATTTAAAAAAAAAAACTCATGTGTGAATTTCTACATATATATCTATCCTCTCTGTATTATAGGGAAAACCAAGTCATAGCAAGACAGCAAAACAAATTCCTAGAAAAACATGCAATGGATAAGACATATAAGACCACAATATAGATGATCTTCCATAGTTACTATGTTTTCTCTTGTTATTTTCAATAGATTTGTCCACAACACCGGCTTAATTATCTTTGATTTCTTTGGCTTATTTAGGATTTTTATATCTTGATTCACCTTTGGTAGTACATATATATCTAAGAATCTATCCATTTCTTCTGTGTTTTTCATCTTACTAGAAAACAAGTTCTTGGGGCTGGGGATTTAGCTCAGTGGCCTAAGCGCCTGCCTTGCAAGCAGGCAGTCATGAGTTCGATCCCTGGTACCGATAAAAACGAAAAAGACCAAAAAAAAAAAAAAAAGAAAGAAAGAAAGAAAGAAAGAA